ATCTCAAACACAATGATGGAGCAGTATAAACACCTACACTTCCATTTTCAAAACTGATATATATGGATTGGCCATCGCAAGAATATGTAGCACATGTGATTCGGCCACTTGCTCGTCGGGGTACAGACTATTTAGATTAGGAAATGATGAAAGTAATTGCATCAGTATCCAAGAAAGGAACAATATTCAAAGTCAAAAAACTTTGTAACAAAGAGATACCAATTCGCAGCAATAATTTATGAAAAATATATTCGTGAAAAATATATTCATGTGTAAGTTCATATGCTACACCAGCACAAGGCATGTCAAATTAGGTACTTCATATATTGCTATATGTCTCTCTTGGAATACTAGTAAATGTGTTTGATCCTGGTGAAATTGTACATGAGTATCTGCAAGAGATGCAGCCGAGCAACCAGGTGGGCTTTGCAAGTATTCACTTGTTTTCTTCTTCCACGTATCAATGCTCCAAACACACAACCGGTTAAACAAAGATGGGTCAGTGGCAGAAAATTCTTAACAATGCAATGCTTAGCCAACTTCTTAAACTGAAAGAAAGGAAAGAACGGTTACTTGCAGAAGTAAATGGCCAATACATATAAATTTCAAAATATACAAGGAAAGAGGTTAAAGAAATGCCTACTTACTAAAACCTACAAGTAATTTCTTTTATTAGACTTAGATATCATCATGTTAGGTCCACGTTGTTGTTCCCAAACAGGTACTCCCAGTATGGTTATTGTGAGATTGCTTAGAGAAAGGAATAGATAGAGACACAAATAGGAACTTCAGTTTTACGAATTGTAGAAGTATCTGCGACAAAAGCTCCTTACCTGAGAATTAGATCCTGAAGATATGAGCACGTTAAGAATATTAGAGAAGGCAAGGCCAGTTATCCTTTTCTGATGAGCTTTGAGCTCGGCTTTGACCTGTTATAAAGGAGATGCAATGATAACATGGCTTGACTCATTAACATGTTTGACTCGCAAATTTAAGCCAAGAGGTTCACAACTATTTACTACCTCATCAACCTTGACATTATATATTTGGATAGATGAATCATCCATGCCAATTGCTATGATGTTACTGTCTTGGGGATGAAATGCCAGAAATGTTGCTGCAGGTGGAGGGGACTTGAATGTTGCCATTGTCTGTTGATAGAACAAAAATGTTATAACAAGCATGTTAAGAGTGTAACTTGTGTCTACCAAAGAGAATAAATTGATATAACATGTTACAACAAGCAAGTTAACAGAGTAAACAAATTGAGTGCAACTCGTGTCTACCAAAGAGAATTAATTGTTTGGTCCGGATCTTCCCAAATCAAACTCTTCCAATATGTTTCAACACATAATGAGAAGAGAAAACACTTTACGATTATACGCTTAACGGATAAAAGCAAGACATGAAATTGTAATCTCTGAGTTTCCAACAAGAAGTTGCTAATCATTCAATAAACAATGCGATTTAGGTATTGTGGCTCGTGATGGCTGGCTGGGATTGTACGGGGGGTTCGTGCCGAATGCATTAAAAAGGCTACCAAACAGCAGGCTTATGTCTCTTACTTTTACATCCTCCGTTTATACATCCATTTCCCCTTTTATTGGAATTCTTTCCTTTCGTTTGAAGGGATCTTTTAAAGTGTTAAATAGTTTAGATTTTTTGTGGTTAATAATTCCTTCTCCATTTTCTTCACAGCTGCACAGCATAAGGCTTACAACATTCGACTCTGTCAAGC